TGGGTCATGGGTCATGGGTCATGGGTCATGGGTCCTGGGTCCTGGGTCCTGGGTCATGGGTCCTGGGTCCTGGGTCCTGGGTCCTGGGTCCTGGGTCCTGGGTCATGGGTCCTGGGTCCTGGGTCCTGGGTCCTGGGTCCTGGGTCCTGGGTCCTGGGTCCTGGGTCCTGGGTCCTGGGTCCTGGGTCCTGGGTCCTGGGTCCTGGGTCCTGGGTCCTGGGTCCTGGGTCCTGGGTCCTGGGTCCTGGGTCCTGGGTCCTGGGTCCTGGGTCCTGGGTCCTGGGTCCTGGGTCCTGGGTCCTGGGTCCTGGGTCCTGGGTCCTGGGTCCTGGGTCCTGGGTCCTGGGTCCTGGGTCCTAGGTCCTGGGTCCTGGGTCCTGGGTCCTGGGTCCAAATCGCTAATTTTATTAAGATATCTTTTCTATTGTTCCTTTTTTGAAATTATTTTCTGTTTTATTTCATTATTTTCTGTTTTCTTTTAAATCTCTTTTTTAGTTGCAAAGTTTCATTATAATCAAATCAATTTCTTTATTTTTATAGATTCTTTGAAAATATGAAAAATTGTTTTCGAATTTGTCAAAATTTTCAAATTTCGTCCTTTTTCGATTTTCTGTAACTCAAGTTTTCAAAATTTCAAAATTATCAAAATTCGATTTTTTTAATTGCAAATTCTCAAAATTGCCATTTTTAATCATTTTCAATTGCATCATTTTTTGAATAGTTTCTTCTTCTTCGAAGTTTTTTCCACGTTCTCTTTTTTACTTTTTCAAAAACTTTTCAATTATTCAATTTCAACTTTCTTGAATGTTTGAAATCTTATCCCTTTTTATCATTGTTAAGTAGTCTTGTGCGTCCCCAAATAAGCTTTATTGACCCATAAACTTTTGAGCACTTTTCACTGAGTATTTAATTATTAACTTTATTAATTAACGACATTATTGGATTAATAGGGTGCACTGCTTGTGAGTTCCGGATTAGTCCTGTTGCAGTATAGCTCCGAAAGAAGTGATTTCTGGTCCATCAAGTTCTAATCTCCAGAAAATCCATGAAATTACTGCAACGATGCTCCTATTCCTGATGGACACCAAGAATTGGCACATACGCCTTCAGAAGAAGTTCATCGTTCCTGGTCGATGCATGTCGCGAATTTAGGGGTCCAAAGTTTCCCTATTCACGACTTTTCCCCTTTCTGAATACATTCTCTTTTTATTATATTGTTTTCTGTTCATTTATGAGGAATCACCGACGCCGACCACCCACGATACATTTGAATTACCGCCAACGGAGGACTACTGTACCCTGCACATCTAAGTCTCGACGCGCACCAAGGAGAGCGCCCATGCGAGGAGGAACGCGCCGGAGTGAGCTGTTCCTATTTTTTCCGTTCATCGTTATAATTTCTCCCACACATCCTAATTTCCATCCCAAATATATTTCATATATTTTCATGGTATTAAAGGCAGAGAATCGTAGGTCAATAAATCGGTGATTCTTAAAAACTTAAAAACTGTGTTTCTGTCGTCTTTCTCTCTTTTCAGGTATTTAGTCTTATTTTTGGGCCGTTTAAGAATGTCTATTTAAAACATGGTGCATCGAACCTAAATTAAACTTTTTAAGACCATTTATTGTCGGAATAAAAAAGTGAGACTCGGTGTTTGCGTACTTTGATTCCCGCCTCCCCCCACCGACGCTCCGCCCATCGCTTTGCAAGTGCGGCGTGGTGTTTTGGC